TGTGGATCTGCTTGGTCAGCTCGCCCGCTGCGCCGAGGCCCGTGGTGTGTACCAGCCGGGGCTGGACGAGGCCTTTGTTCCTCGGTGGAAGGGTCGCTTTGCGGCGCTGGTCCATCAGATGAACGCTGACCACATCCAGCGCCACTTTGGCGGTGTCTGCCTGCGCTCGTCGTAGGTAGGCACCGTCCCGGGGGTCCCTCTGTGGGGATCCCTGTGTGCACCCGTCACTCCCTAGGTGGTTCTCGTTGTGTCTGTTGATGGCTTGACTTGTATTTTTGTTTTAATTTTGCTTTAATTTTTGCTGTATTTTGTGGTATTTTTGCTGAATTTTTGTAAGGTCCTTTGTATGATGTCTTTTCCTTCTGTGGTCGGTTGTTTTCTCAATCCGACGTTGTGTCTCGTTGGATGTGAGCGTGCCGTGGTGTTCATTGTGTTTGTGCTGTGATGGCTTGTAGTTGTGATGTGTGACTGCCCTTTTGGGTGTCTTGTGTTTGAAATGGCCGTATCTCTGGTTATACTTGGTAGTTTTGTACGATTTTTGTTTCTATGTGCGTGATTCTTCGCGCTTGTACCTCTTGGCATGATAGAAGCCAATGAATGTACCTTGTTGTCTTGTGTTATTTTGCGTGCCGTCGTGATTTTGATGTCGGGGTTGCACAGCTTTGCTTTCAGCTCTGAGGTTCAAACACCTAATTTATTTATTGTGCAGCCCACTGCGGGCCAGGGGTGGTGGGGATCAGACCCTGCACGACAAGGCCAGGCTTGTGCAGCCCACTGCGGGCCAGGGGTGGTGGGGATCAGACCCTGCACGACAAGGCCAGGCTTGTGCAGCCCACTGCGGGCCAGGGGCGGTGTGGATCAGACCCTGCACGACAAGACCTGTCCTGATCAGAGCACTGCGGGCCAGGGGTGGTGAGGATCAGACCATGCACGACAAGGCCAGGCTTGTGCAGCCCACTGCGGGCCAGGGGCGGTGTGGATCAGACCCTGCACGACAAGGCCAGGCTTGTGCAGCCCACTGCGGGCCAGGGGCGGTGTGGATCAGACCCTGCACGACAAGACCTGTCCTGATCAGAGCACTGCGGGCCAGGGGTGGTGAGCATCAGATCCTGCACGACAAGGCCAGGCTTGTGCAGAGCACTGCAGACCAGTGGCGGTGGGGATCAGACCCTGCACGACAAGACGTGTCCTGATCAGAGCACTGCGGGCCAGGGGTGGTGAGGATCAGATCCTGCTCGACAAGGCCAGGCTTGTGCAGCCCACTGCGGGCCAGGGGTGGTGGGGATCAGACCCTGCACGACAAGGCCAGGCTTGTGCAGAGCACTGCGGGCCAGGGGTGGTGGGGATCAGACCCTGCACGACAAGGCCAGGCTTGTGCAGAGCACTGCAT